AAACGTTATTTTTAATGAATACCCGTATTTGAGTAGACAATCCGCTTATTGTAAACAGTGTTTATTTCGTCTACCGGCTTGAATCCCCAAGAAAACTTATTGATGAAAATGTACTTTACGACAGGATTCGAACCTGTGTCCTGCTTTCAAGGATTCGAACCTGTGTTTTGCTTTTCAGGATTTGTACCTGTGTCCTGCTTTACAATATTCGAACCTTTGTCCTGCTTTACAGTATTCGAACCTATCTCCTGCTTTCGTATTTTTCCAATGAAACATGACCCATTGCACATGTTAGTACTTCGTATGTCCATTCCACGAAGCCGTTTCTGGCAGATTAACCACAGATTCTCTACCCGATTTAAATCAAGAGAGTTTCCGGGACAGTCGATAGTACTTTGATTTACTCATAGGTAAGGCTTGTGCAGCGTTACAATATTCGTACGCTTCCTTGGAGTAATGTCCATCGTAGACAATGGCTGTAAGACAACTAAACGACAGTCGAGACAATAGTGTCTGGGTGTGATGAAAATTTGATGAAATCACGGATGACGCAATAGTTTTCAAGTCCAAAGAAATTTCATCATGCACCCCAAAAATAAATCATATTACTGCACACCACTGCAAATGACCTAATCTGAGGAAAATTAGAAATCGATTGCACCCTTTGACTCCAGTGGGCCTAAAACTGACCATATGGTGAAAAAAAGGAAACTAAAATATTTATGTTTCAATTAATTTGCATAAAGGTATATATATATATATATATATATATATATATATATATATATATATATATATATATGATATATGAGGGGGAGGGTAAGACTAATTGGTGATTTCTATATATTTATATACCTTACAAATTGAAATAAGCATGAGGATAAAAAATCTTTCCGGATTTTGACGTCATTTTAGGGACTTTCTTTTTTGCCCAAATCTGTGAATATAATATTCCGTCTTTTTTATCTATTATGTCGAATGTTAAAATTGTTCAACTTTTAACAAGAAATATCATCAAAAAATAATGTAATGCGAAGAGGTTTAACAATTTCCGCAACATATTATTGATTTATTTAAGATGGAATGATCGATTATGACATGTCTCTAATTTGCATTTAGATACATTGGATTTATTTTTAGTTGAATTGTTCACTTATATTGCTTATGATTCATTATTGCACATAACTGAGTTACAATAAAATTTGTATTTTATATAAATATAACCTTATGAATATTGAGATGCAGTAGAGTGGGTGGGTATCATAGATTCGGTGGGCCCCACAAAACATTGCATCGGCCTTATATATATATATATATATATATATATATATATATATATATATATATATATATATATATATGTATGTATGTATCAAAGTAAAAAAGAAAGAACAGTCAGATTTATAATCCACAGTTTTTAGCATTTATTTTTAAAATCATAGCACAAAGTAGAGCACAATATTATAATATTATTATTTAAAAATATGTATTCATCATTTCACAAAAATTACCATGTTTCGGAACTGAAAAAAAAAATCTAAACTTTAAATTAAACTTAAAGTTTTTGTTCCATTCTCAAGCAATATTGAATAACATTTGAGAAAAATGATTTACTTTTTTTTAAGCTAAATAGTATTAGATAGTTTAAGAGGATGTTGGCTTTTTTGACGAATCAGGATACAAGTCTAATTTAAGATAGCAAAGTTTAAATATAGTTTATGGGTTAGGTGTGGGTTTGTAATTTCTACCTGTCGATATATGAGAACGTGTCATCCTGTCTTTTATTTATTTTTTTTTTTTAGGGACATATATAACATACACTACAATACATGGGCTTTTTTATTTATTTTTTTTAAAGGTCTTCAAATATGATTAAGTCATATTTTATATATTTATATTTTTATTTATAAAGATCTAAAATACTATATTTACTATATTTTTCAGTATACTAGATACAGTATTGTTCAAATTAAAATTTAAAATTTTGGAATTTAATTGCGCATTTTCTTACATTCTTAAAGTATAACTTTCTTATTTGTGATCAAATAATATATATATATATATATATATATATATATATATATATATATATAATTATGCAATTTTTAATTAATTATGTTTTAAAGTAAACATAATGCAATGTCTACAAAAGCTGTTATTTCTTTTCTTTAATTTAATAAATCTTTACTTTTCCAGAAACTTAATAATATATCACTTTTTTATAGACACAAAGGACACGGGTCATTTAAAGATCTAGAAGCCCTCGTTTTTTGTTTTGTTTTTTGTTTTTTTTTTTGTTTTTTTAATAATTTCCATTTTACTGTGTGTGTTTCATTTGTTTCTTTTAAATGCCAAAAATATTTGTATAGGGATGTTTGGTTACAATACATATTATTTTTTTAAGGGAGACATTTATTATAAATTAATATTAGTGCTACCAATATAAAATTTTTGAATATTAAGATTTCAAATAGATGAGATAATACATTGGTAAACTATAGAGTCTGTAGACATTATTCAATGGACAATTCATAGGATTCGGACAGTTACATAATTTTCTTTACTATCATTTATTCTCATTTCTGGATCACTATTTTTTTTTATTCTGGTTTAATTATTTATTTAAAATTTTATTATGGTGCTTTTTTATATTTTTGCTAAATATTCAGTACAACTATAACTTAATTTTAGATTATTTTTATTAACAATTTTGCTAAGCGTATTATTTCTAGGAAAATGTTTTTCAATTAAAGCAAGAAATGTGTATCTTAACTTACTACTAACTATTTGGTTGAATGGAGGTGTGTACCAAATGATTTTTGTTGTTTCTATTTCTTCTCAGGTTAATTTTATCATTGTTTTTATATTTAATGTCAGGACATTTACAGACAGGATTCTTTAAAGCTTTATTATAAAAAATTACTGTGTTCATAGAATATTCTTTCATTAGCAGAATTTATACTTATTCCCTTTTCTATGGATGAAGATACATGCTTTATTATGGATGGAGGATATTTGACTTTGGGTGGATATATAAAGGATTTGTATAATTTTTTTTATAGGATTTTTCATTAAGTCTAATGTTATATTGAGGAAGTTTACCTTTTTTAATTTTGTATCAGTAGCAACTTTCAAATTTAGGCACTTAAACTCTCTATGAGTTTTCTAATCTCAGCAATTTTGAAGTGTGTATACTTCCTTATAACCATGAGGCCATCATCCATATACCGCCCAATATCTTTAATATTAATTTCACGGTGTACACTCAGATTATATAAAATAAATAGACCAACAAGATGGGAACACTCTGCAGAGTCCAACGTAATTGTGATATTGTTATGGGATCTTACCCATAATAATAATAATAATGGAGTAGTCCATACTTAATAAATACTGTGCCTCAGGAGTAGGCAAGAAGTCAGTAGTTCAAATCGAGTCAGAGGCAGTCCGAAACAGAGTCACGTTCAGACTATTAGTGCAAGACATTGGAATAGTGATACTGGTCGAGACTACATTGTTCTCTCTACTAAACCTGATTGTTCATACTAACACTTCTACTTTTATATATATATTCCTGTTTGTAATATATATGTGTTATTCCATACTTGTGTTCGAGTTCTTCTTTATTGGTTCTACCTTGGACTATTACCGTGGTACAAGGAACCGGACCATAACAAATATCAAAATGGTTTTCTGAATTTTTACCCACTGTTCCTTATTATGAATGAGAAGTGACTTTTTTAGTATTCATAATTATGTTGCTTTCCTCTTTATATAGGTCAGAGTATACAGTGGCAAAATCTAGAACAGCCGCAAAAAGTACCCTTGAAATTGACGGGTAATATTCTTCGATGTCGAACTGGATTAGGGTACGATTTGTTTCATCCTTAATATTTGAAAACCAGTTGGTGACATCTGTTGTATTAATCCATTGTGTCAATCCCAGGTACTCCTTAATTTGTTTGTTAACTCTTTCCAGCATTTTTTTTAGAGTCGGAAAACTTACCACAAAAGATTGCAAACATTACCATCAAGGATGACAAACCCAACTTTGAGGCAAATCCTACTACCTGAATTATAAATCCAACTCGGCTTGAGATCGGTAAAATTAGTAAAAAAAAAAATCCTGGAAAGATTTAACAAACGTCGAAATAGAATTACAATTGCGTATGTATCTATGCTCGAACGCATAGATGTGTATCTGCGCTTATTCTCGTATTGTCTATATGGGTGTCTTTGTGTGAACTAAAATGCGTACACCTGTATGTATGTATCTATGTATGTGTGTGTGAGAGTGTCATCCCAAAACGGACACAGGGGAGGATTTCCTCCTCCCACCAACAAACATAATCAAGCACAAATATACATAAATAGATTCAATCCTTAAAAATAAACCAGTTTGTCTGATGATCGCAAAAGCGTGAAACCCAGGATCACAAACTCATATCCATACAACTAAATCCCCCTCTCTCTCTCTCTCTCTCTCTATATATATATATATATATATATATATATATATATATATATATATATTTTAAAGAAAAACAGACCATTTTAGGTACCATTATAATAATTTATTTCACCAGAGCCTTTTAAAGGACGCCGGATCATCAGATAGCACTTCCAAAAATGAAATGAAACGAAAAATGAAATTAAAATTGATGGGTAGTGTAAGATTTTGTAATTTAACAGAGAGTGTAAGAGGGATAGTTAAAGAGACATGGTAGAGTATAGGGAGGGATTAATTTCATATCTCTCTCAATCATACTTAGTATTGGGGGAGGAAGAGTGACCACACCATGACCTAAGTATATATTATATATATAAAAGTGAACATTGAAGTCAACAGTCAGTGACAACAGGCTGTTCCATGCTAGTCGCAATCGTAGGCGGCCTGACGATTGCGCCTAGAATGAAACAGCCTGTCGCCTCTGAGTGTTGACTTCAATGTTCACTTTTACATTTATATTTGCATACGCTCTATCTCTGATATTGAGCACTTTATCCCATTAATATAGCTATAGATAGATAGATAGATAGATAGATAGATAGATAGATAGATAGATAGAGAAAGAGAAAGATCTGAGAAGTGAGAGATATGAATAAGATGGACTGATGTGAAAGAAAGAAAATTGATTGAGAGGGATAGATAGAGAGATAGAGTAAGAGAGCAAGAAAGAGAGAGTGAAATGAAGATACTAGGAAAGATATGAAGAGGCCAAGAGCCTAGAACAGGATAGATAGATAGATAGATAGATAGATAGATAGATAGATAGATAGATAGATAGATAGATATGAACAGACAAAGTAGATACATAAATATGAACAGATTAGATAGATAGATAGATAGATAGATAGATAGATAGATAGATAGATAGATAGATATAAAAAGACTAGATGGATAGATCGATAGAGAGGTAGATACGAACAGACTAAATAGTTATGAACAGAGTAGATAGATAGACAGATAGATAGATAGAGAAAGAGAAAGATCTGAGGAGTGAGAGATATGAATATGATGGACTGATGTGAAAGAAAGAAAATTGATTGAGAGGGATAGATAGAGAGATTGAGTAAGAGAGAACGAAAGAGATAGATAGATAGATAGATAGATAGATAGATAGATAGATAGATAGATAGATAGATAGATATGAACAGACTAAGATAGATAGATAGATAGATAGATAGATAGATAGATACGAACAGACTAAATAGTTATGAACAGACTAGATATATATATAGATAGATAGATATGAACAGATTAAATAGATAAATAAATATGAACAGACTAGATAGATAGATAGATATTAACAGTATTTTTATGAATAGATTCTGAAAGAGTATATTTCTTGCAAACTGCATGTTTTTATGAGAATTAAAGAACATATAATCTGCTAAATAACCATTTCTTACTCCAATGTTCGAGAGAACCCACCGGCCAGTAAACAAATACAAAGCTCATCATCCCAGATTGTCACTGACCTTACATATTAGATCAATACAACATTAATAACCCATTTCGACCAACCAATGAATTCTTTCTTTTTACCCCCCCACCCCTATCTCTCTCTCTTTCTCTCTTTCTCTCTCTCTCTCTCTCTCACTCTCTTTTCATTAAGGACGCTTTTTTCCTCTTTTTTTTCTCGTGTCATCAATACATTGGCTTTACTCTTTCTTTTCCTTTACTCTTCCCGCCTTCTAACTCCCTCCGTGAAGGCCATCGTACCATTATTGTTTGCTGCATTGAATGAGTCAGCTCAGCTCAGCGCTACTCTTGTACATTAAAGATAGCGCACACTGTCGCTATGGTTACTGCTTGGCTCCGAACAGGTTTGCATGAAGCACTCATGACATACAATACTTTTCCTCGAAAGGCCTTTGTCATATTTGCTTCTTCAACCATTGGTGCCTGTTTCTTTGTCGTCGTTCGTTTTCCTTCCAGTATCGAGCATCAAAATGAGAAAGACGAGATTTCAAATTCTGATGCAATAAAAATTCCGTACGAGCATCCTTGCATTTGTTGCTTTTATCACAAATAGCTGTCCTCTCTAGCCGTCCTAAAAGAAAATCCCAAGTCATCTTTTCACTCAGAAAAAAGATCTGAGGAACATTGAAAGGCCATAATCCATGCGGAAACTATGAAATCAAGCATGGCGGATCCCCTATAAATTGGTGGAAAATGAGCCTGCTGACTCCTATTGAACATGTTTAGACTAGTTGATATTCCTAGAACATTCATAGCGTTCATATGATTATCTGTTTAGAAAAGAAAATGGTTCTTGTACCCTTTTCTTTTCGAGTTAAATCAAAACTTTAAAATTTTACTGACAGAATATAATATCGTATAAAAACATGTTTTTATCATATCATGCGAAGATGAATTTTTAAAATATATCTCTAGTTGAGATAGGTTAGAGCTTTTTTTTTAATCGGTATCACCACAAGCAAAGCAGTAAAACAACTGACACAAAGGGTTACAAGGTGTGGAAGAGGAAGAAAAAGAAACATTAATAATGAGCGGGAAGAGAAAATAGTAATCAGGAGAAAATTAGAGAGCGATTGACATTGCATTTAAATGTTTGGAGATTAAAGTTGGTTGGAAAACAAAGAGCCGGAACGGATTTCCACAAGCGAGAAGTGCGAGAGAAGAAACTTTCAGCATAGAATTTACGGTTACATCTAGCCAAGTCAACTGTAAATTGACGAGATCTCGACGTCAATCTAGTACTCTGCCTAACTTAAAAATGTCTAGTTACCATATCGAAGAACTCATCATAAAAATTACTGTGAAAGTTATTTATATAAAAGGCACAGAGAGGCAACCTTACGGCGGTGAGAAAGCGACTGAAGACGAGATGCCAGATCAGGACCATTAATATTACTGATTCTTCGTTGAACTTTAGAAGCTCAAGGTAAATAGCAGATGAACCGGACCATATGTGGCAACAATATTCTAAGCATGGACGATATAAATATGTTACAGCTAATTAGCATATGAGTATGTGTAGACGTTATGTATAAATTCACTATGTAAGGTAGCGGCATTGGTACTCATCCTGATTGTACTGTTGTCATCTTTTAGTTAAGTCACTGTCTTCAGGCAAATGAAAAAATATTTAGAGATACCTGGTAGCGGGGAACAGATGCCCGAGGCAGTACCATATGATTGCACTAAAAACGGAGATCGGTACCAATACCGATGCCAGCACAAACGACAGTTGCGGGCGCTGGGCAAATTTTTGCCCTGGCTCGGGTGTAACTCTAAGGTGCCCCACATAATACAGACCTTGTGTCACAGCACGTCACCGTGGCGAGACGAGTAAATACCATGATACTTGTAATATTCGTACTGTTAGCATCTCTCTGTTGCGTCTCGCTCTTCGAGCAGGGCGCAACTTAGGCATATTTCTGTCTGCAGAGAAAGTGCAGCTGAAAAATACTAAGAGCTGCCCAGTCCAGGGCAACAGCTGTCCGCGGCAGTAGACCGCTCATTGCACTAAGGGGATATTTGTAGTAATGCCGATACCAGCCGTCGCGTGGACTGGGCAAATTTGGGCCCTGGTCCGTCTGTACGCGCTCAGGTACCCAACGTTAAACCGACCTTGTGTTTACTCGTCACCTTTCTCTCCGCTCCCCGTTACCGTGGAGTGAGCAGTAAATATATCGTACTTCAACTGTAATTGTACTCTTGCCATTGGTAGGAGCAACGTTCCGTGTGACTGGCCGGTAGAGGAGTTCGCTCCTCTGCCAGTAAAATTAGCTCAAGTCTGAGATGTGGTACGGGACATATCCCAGTCAGTATCTATTCTTTTGGGAAGGGACTGAATTAATTGCCCTGTGCCTGAGGGCCGGAATTTTTCCACATTACTGCCGATAAATCCACATTAATCTTGACATTTGTACCACATTTCTTTGCATTGTTTAAATACAATGGTACTTGGACTGTGAAACCGATACTGACCTCACGCATTTGCAATCCCAACTTAGAATATCATAAGAATAGAATTAGCATATGCGTCTGAGTAGTTATGTAGAGGCTCGCTTCGTAAAATAGTAGCAAAGGTACTTGTATTGTTGTTAGTGATACGAGTATTGTTTTGTGTTCTTGGCAAACAGAGGAATTCGTTCCTCTGTCAAGAATATTACTCAAGTGCTAAGGGCTATACCCACAGGCTTTATCTCTCCTTCAGGATAGGGATGGGTTTATTGGTCGGCACTGAGGTGTCCCGAAATTAGGAACTACAGAGAGGTCTTGAAAAGTTTTCTATGGTACTACCGGTAAATTTACATTAAACTCGACCTTGAATTTCTCTGCGTCTTGGACGAACGGCTAAGTACAATCGTACTTGAACTGCAGAACCAGTACTGACCAAATGCAACTGCAACCCCAACTCGAAATAACATAGCAATATCAATTTCCGAAAACAACCTCGAGTAATTGAGTAAAAAGTTAGCGACAAAAAAAAGCTTTTTTTAAAATCAATGAACCTTGTACTTTTTTCTTTGCATTAAAAGGATTTATTATTAGTAAACATAAACTTAACGGATACGATGCACAATAAATGCCCTCAGCAAATGAGAAACAAGTAGAAAGGACTATTAACAGTAAGAAAACAGAATACATGGTTGTCAGCAAAAGAGACATCCCAAAATATGAGCTACATAATGGGGACGTCAAAATCAAGTAAGTGCAGAAGTGTAACTATCAAGGTTGTATAGATATACAGATGCCAGAAAGTGTGATACGCATGTCCGAAGTTACATTCTTTTTAAAGATACAAATATTTAAGTAGATGCTCTGTTTATAATAAACAGTATTAAAAATAAAAACATAAAAATGTCTTAAAATAATTGTCGGACTTTGTCCATTTCATAATTGTTTACATTTGGATACGCCATGAGCAGATATAAATGTACGTGAGAGAATCATGGAAGATTGTAGTTTAAAGACAGTAAAATCGACCTCGCTAACCGAACGCTCCTGTGGCCAAATCGGTTAAAGGCACGTCAGGCTAAATGACGGTTTCGTATAGGATACAGGTTCGATTCCTGTCGGAGGACAAATATATTCTACGAAAATTTCTCGGACATTCAGGCCGGTAAATGTTGTTTAATACTGTTTATTATAAAACAGATCATTTACTTAAATATTTGTATCTATAAAAAATGTATAAACATAAAAATGTCTTAAAATAATTGTCGGACTTTGTCCATTTCATTATATATATATATTAGGATCGTGAATAAGTTCTCGGTGATTTTTCATGCAAAGTAACGTTTTATTTACAAAAAAATAGTAAGATACAAGTCATTGAAAGGATTGTCCATAGCTAGCCACTACTTTTTTCCCATCTTTCTCGAGTCGACCCATTTTTTGGCATCTTCATAAGAATGAAAGTGCTGCTCAGCCAGGCCATGTGCCATCATTCGGGACAAGTGATAATCGGATGGAGCAATGTCTGGTGAATACGGCGGGTTTGGTAGGACTTTTCACCCGTTTTGCAACATGTTGCTTAGCGTTGTCATGTTGCAAAATCACTTTGTCGTGTCTCTGTTCGTATAGCGGCTGTTTGTCTTTGATGCTCGACTCAAACACATCAGTGTTAGTCGATAGCGATCACCCGTGATGGTTTGAGCGGCCCATAATAATTTACACCAAACTGATGCCACCAAATGCAGAAGCTTATCGTAGCGTAGACACTTTTCATCGCCGGTCAGATACGTTGCGAAAAACATTTCCTTTTCTTCCGTTGAAACAGCTGTCCACATGTGACAAGACGCCGTTCGACGTCTCTCGGCTTCAACTCGTACGGCACCTGATGTCTACCTTCTTACAGTTAATAGTCCTTTTTCTTGCTTTCCTTTACTAACAACCATGCATTCTGCATTCTTACTGTTAATAGTCCTTTCTTCTTGCTTTCCTTTAGTGAAAACTATGCATTCTGTATTCTTACATTTAATAGTCCTTGTTTTCCTTTACTGAAAACTATGCATTCTGCATTTGTTATGGTGAAACACGCCTATTCTATAGTTAATAGTCTCTCCCACCTAATATAAGTAGGAGTAGTAAGAGAAACGAAGGTCAGTCGATGTCGGACGACAGTTAGTCGAATACGAAAGTAGTCAGCGACCACAACAAGATTACTCTGCGTAATATCTATTATATCAAGTTCCTAACGTTTTGTACGTCGAACCTATTTTAGGAGCGATTTAGTACAAATACAAGCCTCCACTGCAAAATCACTCCACAACAACTTTCTTACAGTTAATAGTCCTTTCTTCTTGCTTTCCTTTACTGAAAAATATGCATTCTGCGTTCTTACATTTAATAGTCCTTTCTCCTTGATTTCCTTTACTATGTC